GCGTGCGTGTGTGTGTGCGCGTGCGTGCGTATGTGTGTGTATGTGTTTGTGCGTGTACATAGTAGCATATGCGCGTGTTGAGTGGGGGTGGGCTGATACTTTGCTGTCGTGATCGCACCCGCCTCGCGCTGTATCACGTCTCGCGTAACGAGTAATATATGCCTCCGTGCATCAAAACACGCCGGTGCACCAAGCCCTGGTGACCGGGTTTTACGTTAAAGTGATTACGTCACCGTAAATACTAAAAATAAAAATCCCACTTTTTCACAAAATGTAAATAATTGTAATCTAAATGTTCTGCTACTGATACATTCACGGTGAAACCACTAAGCAAACATTAAAACTGTGGAGTTCGCATTTCGGTCCTAATGAGATTATCAATTTATGAATTTTAATAATTTTTGTTTGCTATTTAATTACACTAATATATATATATGTATACAGTATATATATATATATAATATATATATATATATATATATATACAGCGTGCCTTACAATGTATTATGGCCAGTACATGGTTTACTACTGAAAAGACTAATGTGTCTTCGATAATTTCTGTAAGATTGGATAATTGACGTTACCTAAACCACGCGAGCGAGATGTGTATATATCTAATGAGCTAGCATTGAGTATGATTACCTACTATATAAGGAGGGATTGTTTTTTAGGAGCACTACCTAGGTTACCTCGATGCGCGTGGAACTGAATCGCAATAGAGCAATGTGTAACAGCAATGGTTTTGTAATATTAATAATAAAATTTTATTTTGACAAAAAACATCCATATTCATAAAGTACAGTGAGTAGCATCATAGATCTCTATAAAACCACGTCAGGAGAACCCAATAACGATCTTCATTATTACGTACTGCTGACCGCATGCGTGTGGTTATATAGATTTATAGTAGCATATAAGGATCAAAATGGCGCGTGCGTTGATTTAACGACAAAATAAATCTACATTAAACGTTTAGATACATTACGTAATATAATATGGAACGGAATTAATCAGTAACTAACGGAACTATAACGGAATAATTCATCGAGCATAGCATCACACCAGCTTTGACAGTAATCCCGGAAACAATATCTGACAATCTTGATGAGGCAGAGATAGCAACCAGAAGATCCTGCCTGCACGCGTAAAAATAAACCCTCAAATATTTACATTTTTGTTTTCTTTTTCAGACGCCTGATCCCAATTCTTGAAAGCAATTGCCTCCCAACTAATAGTTTATGCCACGCCTGCCCTAAAACTATATTATTTTACGTTAGGGCACGATCAGTGAACGATGTGAAGCTAAACTCAGTAAACCTACAGTGATTACGCTTTGAAAGCCGTGGAAGATGTTTGACTCAGATCCTAACGATAATAATGTTAAAATTAAAGTTATCAATGTATATCTACATTGGAAATGGTCGGTATCTATACAGTAACGTTTCGACACCTCAAGACGTTCTTTTCAACACTGTTAGGCGCCAAAAACGCAATGTTACAAATAGCTCAGCTTTGCATTCACTACTTAAGTCTCACGAGACTCGGTATTTCTCGCAATAGCACCAAAGGAAACCAACTGATCATGAAATACCCTGAAAGCGTGCTGCTAATGGACCGATTATCCAACCGAACAAAACTTTCGCACAATGGAAAAACAAATCAGGCGCTAAACTACTTCATATGACGTGGCGAGGCTGTTAGTGAGAGGTGGAGAATGGGTACAAGGCAGTGGAGAGAGGGAGAGAGAGAGCGAGAGCGCAAAAGAAAGGGAGAGAGAGATAGAGAGTGAGCGCGCGAGTGAGAGAAAACGCAAAAGAGAGAGAGAGAGAGAGAGAGAGAGA